AAAACCCTTACCATCGCTTGTCTCCAGAGGTTGTGTCATTGGTTCCAACGGCACGGGAGTCGACGACAAGTACTCGACAGTACATTCAAACACTTCCTCCAACTTACAGCCATTCAAAACAAGGCTTACATAATGACTAGTCTTTCCCACAAGACTGATATCCAGCAGACAATCGCAAGCAATACCCTTTTGAGTGACTTTATAGTCAATCTTCTTATCACCGAATACTTGGGGCCAGTATTCGACCATTCGGTCAATGATTTGTTGCCTATTCTTCGGTATCAAAGTCTGTATCAATTGGTGGGATGTCTTTGGCGGCGACTCCGGGTCGTAGTCCTCGGGAATGTGTTGGATATCAATGGCGTAATTGTACTCATATTTAACCGCCGCTGACGACGTCAACTGCGGAGGACTAGTAGTGGGCGTGACTACCGGTGCTGCACAGGCAGCCGCTGCAAGTGGTTGGCGGCCAAAGTTGTTCATCATTGACCGGATAGAGCACCAGTTATGCGACTGCGGTCGCAGTCTATCAGCCTTTATCGCCAGTACTTTGTTGGGCACGATATCGACTTCGAAGTTCAGGATACCATAGCCGTCATTGAAAGCCACTAAACGTTGCGTATAGTCGAGACTGCGAGCGCACCGGAAGGTACAGGTGCTGCCATTGGCATCGATTATCTGCAGCGGGTTATGTCTGCCAAACACATCCAGCAACTCGTCGGTCATTTTGCGGATTATGTCGCCTGTCTTGGTTCGGATCAGCTCATCGATGTAGGTATTGAGCGCAGTGTCGGTTACCGTCCGTTTGTTGGCCACGTGTTTGATGTGAGCCGTATATTCATATGGGGAGCCAGGGTTTGGTAGCTGTGGTCTGGCTGTCTCGACCCTATTGCTTATGAGCTGTAAGCGAGCTGCCGTTCCCTCCGGTTTCAGTGGCCAGTCATCCACTGTCTTATAGACATCGACTTCGAAGGAGACCTGTCTCGGTACTTACGGCTGTAGCTACGAGTGGTGTGCAGACCAGCCGAATCTGTGGTCATATCACAGCTCTGACGCGCTCGTGGTCTTCGCCGTCTTTGATGGCCACGACAGCATCGACTGGATCGTCTTCGCCGCCAGACGTGTGTCACCGAACACTTCCGGCCACTCGACCGCCATTTTGGTGATTATGCGGTACGAGTAGTCTCTGATCTGCTCACTGGTGTAAACTTGAGGGCTGGCTATCGAAGGGGCCGTTAGGCTGTTGGCCACGTGTTTGATGTGAGCCTTGTATTGGTAGTGTCGAGCGCCAGGGTTTGACGGTTGGGGACCACCAGCCATCTCCTCAAACGCACGGCTATTGCCTACTGATTGCTTGTGAGTAGCCGTTCCCTCGCATGAAAAGTCTTCAACAGACGGGAAGTCGTAAACGGCTTTATAGACATCGACTTCGAAGGACTGGACACCACTGCCGTCGCACAGACTTATGCTCACCACACGACTGGTCGGCGTAGACACCTGTATGTTGTCCAGAGGTCGGCTGCACCAGAAGCTGCCGGTGCTGTCGACGGGGACAATAGTCTTC